TCTAGACGTAACCGCTTTCACAGTATTTAAGACCCCCTATGCAACGCGCCGAGGCCAGCTCCTAGCACCGAGCCCTGCACGTTAAATCTGTGGCCAGATAAATTAGTGAAGAATGCAATAAAATAGACACAATGAGAGGAACGTTATCCTCCCTGCTGCTAAATGAGATTTCTTTGAAATGCAGATCAGTGGCTCTAGATTAGTGAATTTTAGCTGCTGTCAACATCATAACAAAATACAAATGCGATTGTTCGCCGGTGCCTTATCTCCTTGCTTCCATCTGTTGGCTGGTTATTTACTCCCCCCTGATTTACTATGCAGATCTAAATAAGTCGCATCAAAAGGAGGGCTTACTGCACAATGCCTTCTTAAGCTTCTACATCAAGGTATTTGAAAAACCGGTAGTCACATGAAAAGGCTGCCCATCAAAGGCACATCTCTAATGAACTCTCCCGTATCAGAGGGGGCTTGTGGGGCCTGGCTTTAATGCCGTCTGTGATGGAGAGTACAAATCAGACCCACCAAGCCATGGCAGAGGAGGGAGGAGGAGGACAGAGAGGGGGAGGTAAGAAAGGAAAGACAGGAGAGGGAAGATGAGGAGGGCCTCAGTTATCAGATGAGATTAACTCAACACCTAGTCCCAGGTCTTTCCATCCATCTAACTCCTTGGTGTAGGCTGAGGAAGGCACTTATAAAAAGACGACAATATTAGACGAGTAACAATGGATTATAGTGGACTCGTCACATGTCAGTCTTTGGGGATGCAGCAATAAGCTTGCAAATCGATTAGTAGATTGACAGAATAACTATTTTGATGATTGAGTTATCAACTATTAGCATACATTGAGAGGAATATTTCCTGAAGAAAAGGAAGGAATATGCATTTTAAATCAGCCTCGTAAACATTACGTTGTCCTGTTTTATATCATATTCAACTGACTGGTTTTGGACGTAAAAGAGAAAAACTTCGAGTACTATTTTCTGACATTTTATAAACCAACAAATAACCAACGAAATGTTATCTGCAAATTATAAATAATGAAAATAAATCAACTTAAAAGCAGTGTCTGGGCTTTTTATACAACTGGACTGCAGGAGAGTCAAAGAATATTATAGGAATCTGTTTCACAAACCAATCCAGTTCTCAGAGGGAGATTCTTAGACTGACAGGAAATAAAAGCATACTCTGTTTGCCCCCCCCCTCCCCCTTCTCATTCTCCCCAGATCCGCAAACAGCCTTGGTAATCTCAAACAGAGCTTTTGCATTACGCTCCTGCAATAACCTTTAATTTCATGGTGTATTTGTTGCGTTCAGAGCAAAGGCCGGATTACAACCGACAATCTTCAGACTTAAACAGCGAAAATAAACTGCATGGAGAGATCATGATCTGTACCCCCTCCATCACCCCACATCCCCCCCCCACCCACCCACCGTCGTCATCACCGCCACCATCCTGCTCTGTAGCAGTGTGCCTGGATAAAGGGGAGACCCCCACCAACAAGCATGCAGTTTACCAGTGAACAATTAGCCCCGGAGCAAGAGCAGGCCCGGCACTGGCACATGTGGTTAAGAGGCGAGCGCTGCGGGAGAGCGCCAGATGATGAAGGGATGTGGATGGGGAGGAGGAGGAGGAGGGGGAGAGAAGAGGACACTGGGGGTGAGGAGGGGGGAAGGAGGAGTGTGCCAGACACGCGTGTGCCAGTTTTTGGCTACTGGGCTTCGTCATTCACTTATTGCAAATCTTTACAGAAAAGATAACGACGGATAATAGGCCCCCTCTTCAATTCCAAGACAACTTTAAGGAACCCATTCAGATTGAGCTGTAATGTGATGGCATCCGATTGCTGAGCGCTCGTCTACAACAAAAAAAACATCTTCCCGTCCCTCCCCTCGTCCCGCCTCAAGCTTCTTTCTGCTGTGTAGCATGCCAAGTGGGCCCGGTGCCAGTCGCATTTGCAACCACAAGGGACCCTTGTCTTTTTGCCTTGCCTAATGAAATGACAATACAACAGATTTGCATATGTAGAAACAGGTGTTGTAACAGGTTTGACTCCTCTTGACCTAAACCATGTTAACAAAATAAAACATGCATGAAAAAGCTACAAAAAAAAAAGTTTATGACCAACAGCTGCCTGGAGGTATTTAGGCTCTAATGGGCACTCAAGTCTGCACCATCTGCCCTGCTGCTTGCCAGAAGTGACAATCTAAATTAAAAACCACTCATCAAATATCATAAAAATAAACCATTGTTTTTCTGCCTCCATATGTTGTGGCCATTTTATTTGGTTCGCAGAGAGCAGCAACGGAGTCTGAGCTTGGAGGCCGATAGATGTGATCCGGGGGAAAATCCAGAGAGCCGTACAGTAGCCTGTAATTACCCTCTGCCGATCCGCTGTCTTCAGACCAGAGCCCTGCGTCATCCTAGACATTATCCAAGTTCATCCTCTGCACATTACAGAGTAGAAAACCCTAATGGAGCCAATGTGGTGAAAACAAGGTCATTGTTTAGAGTAGGATTAGGGGTTGCTATCCAAGAGCACAAGCTGGGTGTTCAGATGGTGAAAGGAGATCACATTTCTGCACTATACTTGATTTAACTGCTTTATTCAAATGTGTAATGCCAGAAACAAAAATGGTGGTGTGTTGCTGTGAAACAACCCAAACTAACAGAGATGCATCTTTGAAAATGTCAAAAGTCTCTCCTTCACATTTGACCAAATTACATCCTGGCCCAAAGGGCTCGACTGGAAACATTCCTTTTGTCCTTTACTCAACGACTACTGTACAACACCCAAACCCACTCAACACTGCCGCCTCCACCCAACCCCCCACCTCAATTTTTCCTCCTGTTTTTATTTAGAAGAGCAAGACAGAAGGAACAAACCTGAGACAGTCGTGACCCTGCGCGAGTGTTGTAACTTGGTCTAGAGCTACGCCGGCAGAAGGCAGCACCATATGCCCTCAGCCCCGAGCTGGATGCTCTTTCTGCAGCCTAATGTGCCTGTCAAAAACTGTTACTGTCACGACCCCCCCCCCCCCATGTTTTTTTTTCCCTCTCGCAACATGTTTGAAATAAACATTTTTTTTTTATGTCTGTGTCTCTTTGGGTAAAGAGAAAAGGTCTTCGGAGATGATTTACGCAGTGTTGATGTTTTCTGGTCTGAAGCAAAACCCTCTATGGTTGAAGCTCGGATAATGCCATGCAGACATTAAGATTACATTTTAATTTTTTAACTAATGGTTGTCAGATATTATTTAGGTTGGAACTTACCATAGAAGGGGACTTTCTTTTCCCTAAAATGTACCAGTATTGTCATTAATCACAGCTTTAAACAACCTTTCGCAGCCCCATTAAACACTGGTAGAGTTAGCTCCCACTGTTAGCCTACAGTGCTGTCTCACATGAGCTTTGACTGACAGGCTGATGGCTGGATGTGGGCTGAGCCACAATGACCTTGCCTTTTACCATGAGTGACCCTCTATCTGTAATGCAGGGCAGGACCGACAAAGCCAACACGTCTCTTCTCACCCGGACACTGTCCATCTGACCGTGACTTGAATAAAAGCTGCCGTGCCTTCACACCACACTGACCAGCAAGTAAACATGCAATGAGGAACAAAAAGGGCATGTCTGTAGCTGATGTGTACTGTGATTCAAATGAGTACATAGTTAATTTGAGAAACAGACTGACAAGCTCATGGCAGCTCAGAGTGTCAGCTCAACAGGAGACTATTGAACTCCAAGGTCACCGCTAAGACTCTAGTGCCAAGAGGTGAACTCTAAACCTTATGAAAAGGCATCCATTATCTTACATTGCTGAAGAGGTATAGTGTAAACAAACCAAAACGTTTGTTTTATATCTTTACATGCATGATCCTTTGCGAGGTTATCCGCACCAGCCAAAAGCAACACTTTATGTGGCTTTACAATCCTAAGAGGATAACATGACGTTATATTTGCAAAACAATATTTTCAAGATATTTTGACATTTGATTGTTTTGGTATGAGTAAATATGTAAACGCATAGGCTTTTTAAACTTGGCAAAGCAAGCATGAAACCAATAAATAATAAACTGGAACAAATTCTACATGTGACTAGAGATGAAAGAAAAGGCTAGTCGCCGACTGGCTCTTTGCTCAGATAGTTCTTAACATACCCTTGTGTGGGCTGCCTGCAATCTCCTTTCTAATCCTCATCCCCTGACCCCACCCTGCACACATTTCTCCGGCCAAAGAGTCACATCGTCTCCCAACACCGTCGAGTCAGGCTTAAGAAGTGACCCAGAGCGTAACTAAAAAAGTCTGAGCTGTCTCAAGACTCTTAGTGGCACACAAAACATCATTACTGTGATGTGGATAATTACAGTGCAAAAGGGTGGCCTCTTAAGCATGTAATGCACTCTTTTATCTTAAGAAGTCAATCTCTCCCAAGCCGACAGCTTGCAGTATATGATCCTGGTAAACAAATACTTTTGCGCGGCACAAAAGTGCCATTAAAGGCCAAAACTGTCAACACAAATTCCATTCTTACAGGGGGGCTGGGGGGGGGAGGGAAACAAAGTGGGAGGGGAGAAGGGGAGGAGGGAAAAAAAGGACTTGATCACTTCTGGTTGCTTTAACTTGCATGGAGGTTGTCATGGAAACATTTTTATAAACTGGGATATAACCTGTATGTTTAATTGCCTTTAAGCTCAGTAAGAGGGCTAAGTTAGCCACACATGAAAACACAGAGTAGTTTCGCAGATGAGCTCAGTGAGATGTTTAGAAAGTGAAGCTGCCGCACCACTCCCTTGATTTTCTTACCCATTTTTCCCCCAAATGCAGCAACACCTCAAGGGTTGAGCGAGCAGTCTGTTTCATTACAGAGGTGTTGGGGGATGGGTGATGGTGCAACTCAAAAGCCAATCCAAAAGTGTTTCATTGCCTAAGAAGTACTCTGACTCACAACAGAATTGATATGATCTGTGCAGAAAATCCACGTTGTGGTCTTAATTTGCCATCATTTAAAACAGTTAATTGATGACGTTTTTTGCATTCATAGTAAATGCACGCAAAGTTTTCATAGAACTCTCAGAACAAAACATGAATTGCAAAGCATTTCCTACTTCAGCTCAGCTGGACGCAACAATTTCCATATCTAAAGATAAAATCATGCATCAGCCAGTGTTCATTGAGCTGAAAGCTGAATCTTAATATTGATAAATGATTGAAACGTATGACAGGGTATACACATTAATCCTGTGGAGGACATTCATTTTCCTATTACCATAATGTAGAGCACGAGCGCCCGATGATAAATGCAGCAATCAAAAAATGGACGCAGAGTGGGGAGAGTCGTGGTAATAAGTGCACTGCTCCCAACAACGGTCAGCGATGGAGGGAGACTAATGGCAAGTCTCTCTCCATCGCTCCCACTGCCTTGGGGGAAAAAATGCATCCTGTTTTTACAGAATCAAGTGACCTTACTTACTGCACACACCACCCCGATAACAAGTCAACAAGGGGGACTGTTTTAAGCATGCTTTAAGAAATGATTACAGGGGCACTTCAACAAAGGGGCTGATTGTGCACCGTCGATGACATATTTCACAAGGGGCATTTATTGCCGCCTGGCCTTTGAAGAGTGAGAGCTGCTGAGTGAGGGGGGAACTGGCCCACACCTGCATAACTGAGGAGGGAACACCTGTGCACCCTGCGGCTGGAACAAGGAGGGTCCATGCAGCTAATCCAGGGTGAAAGCTGATCAGAGGACAGGCCCGGAGAGTCCAGCATCTCCCACTACCTAGTTAGCCTTCCTTTACCAAAAAGTGACATCTATTGATTCTTCAGCCACAGTGATTGCAAGAGTGAAATAGAGGAATTTAACAGAAGCTTTAACTGTTTTGATGAATAACTTAGAATTGTAGATTATCATGAATTCTGACAACAGCATCCCTGTTTGTTTCTGGACAAAACATATGGAATATAAAAATGGAGCAAGCAAGCACGGTAAGGTATTCGATGCTGATAATCATAGATCATGCAGATAAGGCATTAATAACTACAGCCCGTGCTTAAAATCTAATTGCATTTCCTTTTTACTGAACAGGTTTTATGTTGTATGTTTGTATTTTGAAAACAGAATGAGTGATTTAAAAAAAAAACTTTTGAAACACACTATAAGCAACCCCTGTTTGTGACAGTAAAGGAATTTAACAACACAGACATCTTTGCTTATTTAATAAATAAGACAAATGAATGGCATTTAGATGGTATATGTGATGTACATATAACAATTGATATTACAAATTAAGGTTATTGTTTAGTCTTGTTTTTAGTAATTATTGAAATGTTTTATCAACACTAATAATTTACAACAAACTCTAAATATATAGTACAATTGCTTTTCATTACATTATTGCAAAAATAAGACATTAAATCTAAAAAGAGGCTTTAAATCAAATAGAATTTTAACAGGACAGTTATCAATACTTTTACCGAATTGAGCAGAGCACACTTCTGAACAGACTATCTTTTTTAATTAGTTTTACGATATGTCATTTACCACTTGGTGGTAAATACAAATCGTGTATGTGTAACAATGTGCAAACACAATTTATAATCTGAATTTAATGGTTAAATAATGAGCAGATAAGAAACAATACGTCGGCTTTTTAAAAGTCAGTGCTCAGTGTTCAGAGCAGGCGAAGCGTGGACAGTGCTGTCTGAGGGTCCAACATGAAAAAGCTGAACTCTAGTCCTAGGTAATAAATGTAAAATAACAGCAGCTCGGTCATTAAAAAGCACAGGAAGTCCTCGCGCAACATGTCAATAATAACGTTCCAAGTTAAGTTGCAAAGCGCCAGATAACACGGGACAAACTTGTGGCCAGTGGTCCACTTCCTAATTCACAAAGTGTGGAGAGAAAACGGCTCATGGGGAGAAAAACTTACCACAAAAAATGGCAGGTATATTCTCCTCGCGGTAAAGTCAAAGGGACACACCAGGTGCGAAGTCGTCGTCCTCTGTGTTTGCAGAGATGTTCACACGTGACTGTCCAAGTTCACCATAACGCAGAGAAAATGAACAACAAGCTGCAGAGTAAATAAAAAGCTCAAATATTCCTCCGCTGGGCACCGCAGTCTGAGACACACACACTCTCTCCTGCTGTCTCCCGTCAACGCCGCTGTTATTACTAATGCAACAGAGGGAAAAGCAGTACACTGAGTCCTGTTTGAATGACGCGCAATGCGAGGAAGACGCGGCTTGTTTTTTTTCTTCGTTACGATTCAAACACACATCAAGCTGTATCCCAGCAAGCAAGTATATTTGGGTCTAGAAACCCCCCCGGGGGAGGCACTTGCTTGTACGCGGAGGTGTGTGTGTTGTTATTTTTGGGAGTACTGCGACCCCATGTGACGTCAGGGCACCTGCTATGTCAACACAAAGTCATTTAAAAAAAGTTTGTTTCCCCTTTTTCAAACGGCGTGGGTTTTCTCTCTGTTATACGTTGCTCGTGTCGTATTGTTGGTGGGGAGAGAACCGGTAACGAGACGGTCCTTCCGACGAAGAGATAAGTGAGCCCGGTGCTCAAGCTGAGAAACTTCATGAAAGACACTATCATGAAGTTGCTTTATTACAAATACATCTGCAATTTGTAACCAAATAAAAAAATCATTAAATATTGCCGTAATGTTCCAACAGGAACTGCATACAGCGACCACAAAGTGACTGCCAGCAAACGTTGTTTTTTTTATATAGGATATAACATGAAGTTGTGTGTCATATTTGTATGGTAAACTACATCGCTGTCATATTCTATTAAGACTTTTTAAATTCTAAATAAAATAAATATGCAATCTTATGTGTGAACATGAGTCAAAGGAAATACATCAGCCCTATTATTTTTTAAACATTCTTAATCTGCATAGTAAAAAGACAAATAACGATGTTCTGGGGGTGTGTGCATACAGTAAAATTATGTTCAATGATACATATCTTACAGATTAGTATCGTTATTATTTTAACGCCATTTCTTAAGTTAATGTAAACATACAGTACGTTTAGACTATGTATAGCTCATTCCAAATGTCATCTAAATGAAATCTAAAATAAATACTTTATTACAAGAAGATGTAAATGCAACATGCACTGTTTAACTGAAGGAATGTTTCTTATTAATTTAGCTAAAATGTAATTTATTCTTTTAAAAGTAGATCCGAAACCAGACGTGCAGTTGTTCAAAGGCTTTGCTTTATTCTGTCTCGTCTTCCTTTTCTTCTTTTCAAACTGTTGAGACGTTCACGGTCAAGAAATGAATGACCAAATTATTATCAAGTAAAAAAAAAGGGGGGGGGGGGCACGTATTAAAAAATGTAAGAAACACAAAATCTAATGTCCTGTATTCTTTCTACTGGCAATAATTAAAATGCTATATTTACTTTTATTTATATGATGAATGACTGTTTTTTGCATGTGATTTGTTCATGCCAATGATGGTTATATTTGTCTTTAATGAAAGAAACTCATCTTGCAGCCTCTGTGTCTAAGCCTGTGCTGTGTGTACATTTAAATGGCGTCAATAAAGCGAAGATATTTGTATTGACTTAAATAAAAAATAGTCTGCATGTAAGAAGGCGTCTTATTGATGTTAATATTACATAGTCATTTACTTCTCTAGTAAAACTGTTTCACCATATTAATGGAAAAGCTTTGTGTTGCCATATAGCCTATATATGCAAAATGTACTAAAATAGAGATATATTTTCGCTGATATTTTTATTTTATTTGAAAAAAACACGTGTTGTAGTTGATAGCATGTGAAACGCATATCATATTACCCAATATATCAGTATGTGTTCAATTAGGTTTGTGTGTTGTTGTTTGTAACAAATCTTTATTGTTATGTTTTTGAATCCATCAAATACAAAATGTAACAGCATCTTTGAAATGTGATCAGGCTGTAAAACAAGTATCATGGAATTGTGGTGGTATGCTGCCACCTACTGGTCAATGTTATGTATGAGAGTCTGTCAAAAGTAACAGGAGACAACGGAGTAAATAACTATACATGTAAGTGTATACATGTTTATTATTACCACTCTCCCACCATTATATTGAAAATGTACATATTGTGTATTTTTTTATCCTGCATTAATATCGCAAGAGAAGGGAAGTATACACATATTAATTTTGCTGATGTGTATTTCTATCTGACATGTATTTCACTCTGATCATATAGTGCCATCTACTGATATACATTGGACATACAGTTCAAATACCACTGTGACTAAATAAATAAACGGTTGAATAAAATAAAATGTTTGACAATACTATTTAACATATGTTGAATAAGCTTTTTTCTTTCTTTTTTAATAAGCAGTTGTTTTGTTCCTGATTTATTTCCTTTCTTTAAAAAAACAAACATGTTTGCATATGGTCACAGACTTGTCATTATATATCTGCCTTTACAGCTATTGCACATTGTGATGGTATTTACAGACCAAAACTACAATTGAAAGTAAACAGAGAGCCTCAGCAGGTCACCTACAAGTGAAGGATTGTATTACCAGCACTTTATTTACACAATAAACTGGATTTTAAGGTATAGGTACACTGCATGTTGGTGATTAGTTGAACTTCCTATCTGAGGAGGCAAACACACACAGGGTCACACACAATATTATCTCGTTTTTTGTAGTCTGTATATAAAAGGTCAGAGGTCAGAATTATCATTTAGCAGAAGAGCATTTCCCCTTTGAGCTTTCCTGGGGACACTTGAGTACTTTATTTTATAATAAAAAAATGCTCACAATGACAATGGAGACTTTCTTATGTTAACAATACTGTATTCACCACATTAGTTTAGAATGTTAGTATGTGGTGGTAAACACAGAGTTGAAGGTGAATTGACTGTGATTAGTTCTCAAGTAGAACACATCCTGAATTAATACAAATTATACCTTGTGATGGCACTTAATGAAAATGTAAGGATACACAAGGTCACCATATTTCTTTCTGACGTCAACTTCTGCAGAAAATGCAATAAATAGTTGAGATATTTCAGTTTGTAGTTTGTAGGACAGTGGAGGACTAAATGCATTAATATTCTATTTCCAGTTAGAAAGGTATATTAGAGAAGTAAATTCAAGCTAATCAACATTGCTAGAAAGTGGAACATCAGTTTCCATTTCTGCAAATTCTGAAAGAAGCACCATGGCTTAAGGCTGTACAGCTGAGTATTTAGAAGCACAGATTATATCACGGATTACGTACAACTGTTACATGATGGCTTCGGTCATCATCTGACCACCATGACCAAAATAAAGTGTCATACCATAACACTCAGATTCAAAGTCCCATCTCAGCCATATCATTATTGTGTTTGGTAAAGGGACACAGATAGTAAAGTTCAAATACAGATTTTTAACTCTAATTTTGAAATATGTACACATTGAAATCAGCTGTATATAGACACCATGGCAATATACTATAAACATGGTTCTGTTAGTGCACTATTTTTACTTTGAAGTGTTTTATGGAAGCTATATTTTCCTTTATTTATTTTGTTACTAGCAAACATATTGTGCAAGGATAACTACGAGGATAAATGGCCTGCCCTGAACTAGTTATATATGAGCACTATTAATAGGTTTGGCTCAGACTCACAGTGTTCAGCTGAAACCAAACTCCATCTGCCCAGTCACGTCCTCTCCCTGCTCTCCCTTCTACAGTATCACTGCAGCCAGGCTACGGGCACTCTGCTCTGTGCTACCCTCCGAGCCAGACAGACGGCAGGACGGGCCGACAGCTGCCTCTCAGGCCTCCGCACATCATGGAGGGGACGCACATCCAACCCATGGAGGAGGATGGGGCCGTTATGGAGGAGGAGGAAATGCAAATAAATGGGGAACAGGAAGAGGGAGAAATGGAGGCCTCGGAAGAGGAAACAGATGAGGACTGCGAACCGGAGCCCCCACACGTCATTCGGAGGAAGGTGTCGTTTGCCGATGCGTTCGGTCTCAACTTGGTGTCAGTGAAGGAGTATGACAATGTCACAGAGTCAGAGGTCAGCCAGCCCACGAAGAGTGAGGCAATCCCTCTACTGGAGGAGTTCTACATGTCCTGCCTGTTTACAGCCCCCTCATCCCCGGAGGAGCTCGACCAGAGGCTACAAACACAGATGGTTGAACTTGAAAGCATGGAGCTCCTCCCGGGGACCACCACACTGCGTGGCACCATCAGGGTGGTCAACCTCTGCTATAGTAAGTCAGTTTACGCCCGGATGACCCTGGATCGCTGGACGAGCCAATTTGACTTGTTGGCGGAGTACGTGCCTGGATCCAGTGACAGGAAAACAGACAGGTTTACCTTCATGTACACCCTGGTACCTCCCTTTGATAGAGAGGGGGCCAGAGTGGAGATCTCTCTGCGTTATGAGACCTCCGTGGGCACTTTTTGGGCTAATAACGCAGGATTGAACTATGTGCTGTTCTGCCACCAGAAAGGACATGTGAAGGAGCACGTTCTTCTGGTGCAAGAGGAGAGTCACATCTACAAGAGCAAGAGGAGCTGTCTGAAAGCTATCATGTGAGAGAACCTAATACTCAAGTTATTTTGTAAACATTCAGCAGCACGAGGAATTCGTGGCAATAGACGTCATAACATGGAAATCAATATTCAGATAAAACCGTTTTTGGATCTATCAGTGCAAACTTTATTCATGTTGTGACAGTTTAGCAACAAATCAACCAGAAACAAGTGAAGGCTCCAAATGATTCATTTCCTGTGGTAGGACATTTGACACAGTGCTCTACTCCTGTCGTCACGTGGAAGCTGGCCGGGCAATTGTGTGTTTACAGTAAGCCGTTATGTAACTTTCAGTAATGGCTGCTTGAAACACATATTGCCCTTTTAAGGTCAGGTGTGTGTCTAGGTTTCCATGACGTCTCACCATGGCTACGGATGCCAGATAGGCTTAGGCTACTTTTTTCTCTTTGAATGAACTCCAAATCAGAAACTGCGTTTTCTTCTGACCAGTAATTCCTTATTATCTTTGCTCTGATCTGAATTGTTTCAGTTTGGAAGTTGTGCACACATTACAAACATTTTAAAAACTGGCAAACATTCAAATTAAATTCACACAAAAGGTATAAACTGTGAAATAGGGATCACAGCTTTTTTCTGTACACCTTTTACTAATGTATTACAATTACAGCAAAGCCAGTGTTGGTGCATGTGATACCCACTCTGAATAGTTGCAAGATGCGGTCACGAAGACACACTAACACAGAATGTGATTTAAAACACTATTTTAATCTTATGTAATGTCAATCCTGCTTCATGTTTTAACCAAAGGAAGGGCACTGCAGAGGAAAACATTGAGGACAGCTGTAACACCTCAACAGCTGCTGCAGGTGTGTATACCTCAATTCTAGTTTCTATGTGTGTACACGCATACCTGATCAATAATGCAAGCACATTTTGACTGCTGTTGTTTTACTTGCAGAGGCAGAAGCCACACATAAAGCAGAGGAGGCTAACAGGAGGGGCAGCACAGATATACAATCCTTACTAGACCGGGAAGAACGCAACACTTTGGTAAGGTTCATTTGTTCATATTTTCAGTTTATTGTTGAAGCCTGGGAGAAAAAGGCCTTCTATCACCTAGAAGTAAACAATACAGTGAGAAAGTGTTTTGTTCTTTCTGCAAAGATACGATAGCCGAGCAAAAGATGATTGTTATACTGCACAGTGCTCAGTTGCCCCGAAAAATATGGAAAGTAAGCTAGCCTGCCACTTGATAGGCTGTCTGAAATGTGCAAACTACTAATAATAAAAGTAAACAAAAATAGGCGTACAGTATGTCATGAGGTTGCATCAGTATTGCCATGGATTGAGGTTTTAAAGTAGCTGTTGACTTTTAGATGAACAAAACTGGTAGCCTCTGATTAAAGTTCAACTAGGTCAAGCCTTAACACTTTAAATGACCTTTGACTCTTCTGACAGGTGGACAGCATTAACAGCCGACACCGAGCAGCCCGCTTGGCTCGTGTGAAGGAATACCTCTCCCAGAGGAGCCAGCACATGTCGAAGGCTCATTCACATGACTCAGCGACAAGCCAGGGGGTTTCTCAGCCTCTGCCTGCTCAGTGGGTTGACTCTGCCAGCTTTCTCCACCAACGCCAAAAGAAGCAATCCAACGAGAGTCCACAGGTGCTCACCTACCACCAGATTCCTCTGCTTACACTGGATTGGAACAATGACAAAGCCCATGAGTGGGGGGCTCCTGAAATGCGTGACATTTGGACTGGGACAGCTAAAATGACCTTGTCAAAAGCGTCAGAGGAAAAAACACCTTCGGTCAATGATATGTGGGAGGCATTTGGTAACAGAACAGATGATAGCGGTGATAAAGAAACCTCGGTATGCGATGTATGGCAGGCATTTCTTAATGAGCCGAGCTGTACGGACCGCTCTGCTGTTCCAGAGTCAGAATGGCTGCAGACAGCAGCGTCAGTTTCTCCGTCAAATGATAAAGAGCCCAATGCTCGAAATACAGCAAGCAGTCAAGAGCAAGAATTTCAGGTGGGCACGGATACACCCACCACCTTACATGCACACACCTTAGCTGTATGCCAGCTGCTGTCAGACAGTCTTCCTGCGAATGTTGCGTTGAACACTGAAGACCTCCAGCCAGCAGAGGCATGTGTCAGCAGCCCAAGAGACGGCGACACAGTGACACGAGACACATCCCAAAGGTCGCAGACAAACTCCGTTACAGACACTCCGCAGATATTTTGCCTCAAGGGGGCAACGCAGGTGTCCGAAGGCTCTGTTGACAGTTCAACTGAGTGTCACGAGCTGACGATCTGGGGGCAAGGAAGAGAGGAAATTATAGGAGGAGCAGAAGGAATAGGACAGGATGAGCCCTTCACACAATACACACATGACTTAGTAACAAGCTCAGGGGAGTCGGAGACAACAGACATGACAGCAATGCCAGAGTCTCAGAATGCCACCGCCGATGATAGGATCTCACAGGGACTGGATGAGGGTCTTTCTTCCAGCAGGGAAGGCGAGGTTACAGGTACCGCACAGAGCATGATGGATGACAAGCTGGCATTTACAGGGACAATCAGAAAGGGGACAAAGGATGGGGAGAGGTTTGTCTTTTCTACATCCAGACAAGGAGGGGAGGAAGGGATGGTGAATAGCTGTACGGAAAATAAAGCAGCTGCAGATGAGGAGATATTAAGGCCACAGAAAAGAGAAGAGTGTGAAATCTCCCGGCGGTGTGCAGATGAAAAGCAACATGGGGAAGTCGGGCAGAACCAAAACAGTGAAAACCCATTACAGGAGAATGAAAATGAAATAAAACGTGTACAGAAAAATGCAGATGATTCCAGTCTGAGCAATACCTCTGAGGTACATTTCACGCAAAGTCAAATAATGCCAAGCGAATTCAAATTAGTTGAATCAGACAGCGAGGATGTTGCATCAAATAGCAAAGACTTGGAAGTATTCAAAAAGACAGAGATGGAACCTTCCTATTGTACAAGAGACGACACAAAGAGACTCATTGGTGCAGAAGTGGGAATGGTTCAGGTATTAAATCAGGAGCAAAATGACAAAGCTTTTCAACGTCATTCATTGTGGCAGAGGGGGAACACGTCAATCATTTCGGAAGAACATAAACAGACAAGGACAATCGAAGCAGGGGATGTGGAGTGCATTCAGAAAGAGGAAGACCCAAGACAGACACAAATAGAGGGACATATTGTAGCAAAATTGGAAACAGGTGTATTCGTTTCAAATCAGGGAGAGAAAGAAAGTAGGAGCTGTGATGGAATAATAGAAGAAGAACCGGAAATAATGGTTACATACGATGGGAAAGAAAAAGTCTTCCAAGGTGTTCCTGATAGACCCTTTGCAACAGATAAATGCAACACTTACCGAGTAGAGGCTTTAGACATGAAATGGACTCAGAAAGAGGATGCCGGCTGTGAAATAAGCCCAGAAGAAGTTATGGAGAAGAAGAGCGTTGCAATGAAAGACACTTTAACAGAACTTCAACACCAACCTGAGACATTAGAAAGCACAGAAGAACGTGTGAGTCACAGAGACACTGATGAGAGCATGAGCATTGGAGAGCAGGAAATAGAAGTGCAGGAGGACTTGATGGGTAATGTGGAGGACCCTCAGGGGGAGAGGAAGAACGCACCAGCTGAATTGAAAGAACAAGAGTTGTCAGCAGAAGTTGAGAGCTCTACACGTGTTGAATATAAAAGATTGTCAGAGGGAACAAAAGACTCTATTATAGCAGAAAATACTGCAGCACTTGAAGTGATCGAGTCTGGATTGGATGACATGCTCATCGAAAGATTTGGAGAAGATTTGATCAGTGGGATTTGGGAAGAGGTGTTTGGTTGGAGAAACCAGGCTTCTAATAGAGACACCGATATTGTTGAGGGAATGGGGGGCAAACAGGCAGTTAAACCTGATATTACACAAGATTGTCTTTTTGAGAAAGTCTTCAATGATGCATTGTCCTTGATAGAACTGCCAACAGATCAAAATGCAAGCCTCTGTCAAGGCCTAGGGCAAACCTTAGCCACTGAGAGTAAGGAATTCTCCCCAAAAGAGAGTCTGTCACTCACCACAGCAGAACAAACCAACTTTCTTTCACAATTACAGACAGATTTGAATACAAGTGCTCATCTCAGTGAAGATTTCACCCCCATTGCGGCAGCTCAGAGTAGTCCGTCATTGACCGAATCAGCCCAACGCTCTATAAAGGATCAGGAGAATGTCACTCAAATAAAAGAAAGATCTGTAACCTGTCAGGAGACAAGTAGACAAATAGAAAGATTTGGAGAATATCTGATCGGTGAGATTTGGGATGAGGTGTTTGGTCGGAGAGAACAGGCCTCTAAAGGACACACCGATATTGTTGATAGAACAAGCAAGCTGGCCGGTAAACCTGATTTTACACGAGATTGTCTTTTTGAGAAAGACTCCAACGGTGCTTTTGATTCTGGTGCATTTTCCTTGACACAAATGCAAAAAGATGGAAATCCAAAGGATCAGGAAAACTACCCTGAAACAAAAGAAAGATCTGTCACCCGTCAGGAAACAGGCAGACAAATAGAAGAAGTCGCCCACAGGGAGGGTTTTAATCAATCGGCCCACCCCTCTCGCAAACATCTGAGTTCTTCCTCTGACAATTTGCAAGAGTCTGATAGAGTTGTATGGTGGAGTATGTTATACATCCTTCATCACATCACCAGACTTCTAATGTGCGTCCTCGTAGTCGCTGGATTCTTCTTCAGCCTTTTCCTGTATGATTTCCCAGCATTCTTTGCGCTCTACACATTTTCATTGTGCTGGTGGTTTTATAAGTGGAAGACACATCGAGTGACGACAAACAAGGGGATGGTGGGATTGGCTGAGAGTTAACGGAGATAGAAAGTTGTGAAAAACTGCTGTGTGTAGCATTTTAAATCACTAGTACATTACCGTCAAATTAATGGTAATGCCTTCCATTTCTTCAGTCGGGAAAACCGTTGTCAACCATTGAGAAGATTATTGACAAATGGGTGCAATAAAACTAAATGCTACACACAGCATTTGTAGTGTGTGTGTGTGTGTGTGTGTGTGTGTGTGTGTGTGTGTGTGTGTGTGTGTGTGTGTGTGTGTGTGTGTGTGTGTGTGTGTGTGGGGGGTTGTGTGCTTTCACATTTGGTTGTTTCTAACTCTAAGTGAGTTCATTGCAGTGGTTTCCAACTTTTGCAATTTCAAGAGTCCAAGAAGACTTGGTTAAAGAGCTTTGTTTATTGTTTAATTTAAATCGAAAAATACATAAAAACAACAATATGCAGTAGAAATGTGTTTTTTCATTTTATTCATCTTCCGTCTCTTGACCTTTTACATTTGTCTTGCGAACCCTTGTGGTGGGTCCCCAACCACTGAATAAATCAACAAGCATTTTCTTTTTCAAATAATCATGAACAAATAAGAACAGGGCTACTATTTGTTTTCCCTCTTTGATAAATAACCATGAAAATGTTGTTGAATGTGTTAGTTAGCGCTGAATTAGTGTTAACAAGTATGTGTAGGATGTGTTTGCAGTGTTTTATGGGCCCAATATCACTTTACAATTCACCAAATGGAACAAATAGAGTTTGATTCTAGACAAAGGACATCTACAATACTGGGGCATTGGAGACTGAAACATTTCTATTTCATTGCTTTTCTTCAATAAACGAAATTAGTTTGACAAAAAACTAAAAAGACTTTCAATGTTTTTTGTGTCAAATGTTATATTGTACTAGATTTTGGCATTTCTTATGAGATACAACAACAGCAGGGAACAGGATGATGTATTTCCTCTTACTCAACATGAAATAACTAGCTCAGATCTATTTGTACCCGATATGTACCCATATTAACACATACTCTCTGTAATCCCTTAGTATTATCATTATAATCAACTTTCTATTTGTTCAACTATTTTAGTGCTTTTGTACAATATACTGTTTTGGTGTCTTATTTGAGATACAGTGAGATTTCATTTGTTAAATTGCTTGCTAATACTGTGTCTCACATGCACTATATTCTGCATTAATAGCCACAAACTTCACCATATTCATGTGATAAGTTACTGACTTTGAGATGACACCGTTCACAGACCAGAGGATCAGTCAGCAGTTCTTTGTTCCTGGATTTGGAGACGGCTATAAAAAGGTAATTTCAAGGAAGTTGTAACATTAAGAAAAGGTCAAAGATATGACGATCTTTGAAGGGGTATAAACTGAGGAAGTTTCAGCAGAATTACATGTTGATTATCAAATAAATCAACTCTTTGAAGCTTAGCAGCAGTCTTTAAAGTGAAAACCAGGCTCCAATCTTTGAAACTTTAAGTGACTCCTTAGAGACCGAGGACATTTTATTACCTGCTGACTTTAGTGAAATTCACATCGCAAATAGTCCATTTCATCCCTGCTCAAGTTGCTAATGTGACTTACTAAAAGCACTGCATTACAAGGTTAATAATACAATAGGATACAATTCAGGCTTTTGACATATACAGCAGTAAAATAAATATGGCAATCAAGTCACTCCAGACCAAAGAAAACACCAGGGAATACAGAGAAAACAGTATATATGTAAGTGGCAATATTAATGTAAAAAACACATGGCGGTCATTTTTTACAGTACTTACATAAACAAAATGGCACAAAGGCTCAAATACAAATGTAAAAAGAAGCCTATAGGTTATTCAAGGAAGGGCCCCACTCTCAGCCCCAATTCACTGCTCTTGATACATGATATTTGGGAAATGGTTTTGACATACGCAAACACACATGTGACCGGATCATTATAACAAGCAATCACAACACTAGATTAAGGGACATTTTGCAATGTAATGGAAAATGACTGTAATTTAGAAGAAGATTTAACTATAATTGTCATTACGTAGTACAGGTACTATGTAACAAAACTGTTTCTCTGCATTTGACCCATGCTAGTGTTAGGAGCAGTGGGCTGCCATTATGTACGGCGCCCGGGTGGCAGTGTAGGGAACGGAGCCTTGCTCAGGGACACCTCGGTAGCACTTGGTCTTTCCGGGACTTGAACTGGTGACCTTCCAGTTGCCTATGGACTTCGCCACCACCAATTTATGCAGGAATTATCAAAATATGATAACTAATAACATTGATAATAACTGAGAGATCTTGATACATCTACATCAACACTATAGTGCCGGTTCATTCAAGTCAGTAATTAAAGTTTATTATGTCCAACTGCTATTTAGAGACTATATACTAACTATACAGAGTTCGTTATTTGTAAGACTTTCCTACATCTGCTAGAATGTGAAGTGGTTGGAAATAGTTCTGTATGTGTGTGTCTGTATATGTATGTGTGTATGTGTATGTGTATGTGTATGTGTGTATGTGTATGTGTATGTGCGTGTGTGTGTGTGTGTGTGTGTGTGTGTGTGTGTGTGTGTGGTGATGCATCTGTCAGTTGCATGTACTTACATTTGTTTCCATCTCCATACTGATGAGAAAAACAGTGAAGGAA